CTAAAGACATACATACCTATACATATCCATATATCCAAAGACATATATATACCTATATACTTAAAGACATATATATATATATATACCAATGCATGTACACACCATATATACTGACTAACGGTATTTACAGACGAAATAAAAAATACCCTAACGAAATTATTTTTATACATTCGCTGTTAACAGTATTTAGAGATGAATAACACCTTAACAAAACCTTTTGGTACTCTCGTTGTTAAAATTACTTACAGGTGAATAATACTTTAAATAAGCGTCTTAGTACCCTTTCTGTTAAGATTATTTATAAATCAATAATACTCGAACGAAGCGTATTAGTACCCTTTCTAATAACATTACTTATAAGTCAATAATACTCTAACGAAGCGTATTAGTGCCCTTTCGGTTAACATTATTTATAAGTCCATAATACTCTCACATAGAGGAAAGACTAAAGATTGAAGAATTGAAAAGAGTAAATTATTCAGTCTTAATCCACTCTAAAAATACTATAACCCATCAGTGAATTGTAAAAGACGAGAGGAAGAGTATAGTGAGTTAGTATTATTTAGCGCAGAAAGTATGATACGTTTGAAAGGTACACTTTGAAATTATCTCAGCAGTTGTTTTTATTAGATAAACAAAGAATACGAGACCAAGTGTCAGATGAACAAAAACTACAAGATCAAGTATATAATAATCAGGACTTATGAAGTGTGAGATGAACAAAAACTATAAGACCCAGTATATAATAATGAAAACTTATGAAGTGTCAAATTAACAAAAACTACAAGATCAAGTATATAATAATAAGGACTTATGAAATGTCAGATGAACAGAAACTACAAAACCATGTATATAATAATAACTTATGAAGTGTCAGATGAACAAAAACAATATAACCAAGTATATAATAATGAAAACTTACGAAGTGTCAGATGAATAAAAACTACAAGGTCAAGTATATAATAATTAGAACTTATGAAGTGTCAGATAAACAAAAACTATAAGACCAACTATATAGTAATTAGAACACATGAAATGTCAAATGAACAAAAAATGCAAGATCAAGTATAAAATAATAAGAACTTATGAAGCGATGTACCAGGGTTTAAAAAGTTTGGAATTATGGACCATAAAAGCTTTGTTAAGTATATATTTTTTTCCAGTTGTTTTAAAATTTTTCTTGAAATTACACACTTTAAGAAAGATAATCACAACTTACAATCTCAGAAATCAAACAGCTCCGTAACCAGAGCCAGTATTCTATATAGGTCAAAAAACAACCGAAAAATAGCCATTGTCCTCACAGCAAGCTAGACCCACGAACACGAGGTGTGATTTTAACACTAACACATGGTGTTACCACGAATACAAGGTGTGATTTTAACACTAACACCTGGTGTTAGCACGAACACAAGGTGTGATTTTAACACTATCGTCTGGTGTTAGCACGAACACCAGGTGTGATTTTAACACTATCGTCTGGTGTTAACATGAACACCAGGTGTAATTTTAACACTGACATCTGGTGTTAACATGAACACAAGGTGTAATTTTAACACTAACATCTGGTGTTAGAACGAACACAAGGTGTGATTTTTTAACACTAACAACAGGTGTTAGCTCGAGCACAAAGTGTGATTTTAACACTAAAATCTGATGTTAGCATGAACACCAGAACATGAACTTTTGGTGTTAGTAAAATGATGAGATTCACATTCCTAAGGTGAGAACATACATGTTTTGTAAGTGTAACTCAGGTGACACACACACAAAAAAGTTGAAATTAAACACTTTTGTTCTAGAGACAATGCAATAAGTATTTAAATTATTTTCTAATTAACACTCCAGACACCTTATAATATTAAACATACGTTTTAATCATGAGTCCTATAAATGAGCAAATGAATTACATAATAACCTGGAACATACAATAGCACCTAACCTATAAATAAAAACCTGGAACTACACTATAACCTAACCTATAAATAAAAACCTGGATCCTACACTATAACCTAACCTTAATAAAACTTCGAACCTAACCTACGCTGTAACCTAACCTATAAGTAAAAACCTGGAACCTATACTATAACCTTACCCACAAATAAAAACCTGAAACCTACACTATAACTTACCCACAAATAAAAACCTGGAACCTACACTATAGCCTGCATACGGTTGTAATATAACAGTCGAAAGCTTGCTAAGCAAAAATGAAGTAAAACTGTAGTAACTTATTTCGCTACTATCATCACTTACTTTTTGAGTGTCAAAAAATAGTTTGAGCAGCCTACCTAAGTTTTAATGTTATTACAGACATTCCGTGACTGTACACAGCGTGGTCGCAAGTAA